GACATGCATTAGAAAAGGTAACGTAACTAAGCCATAAAATAATCTTACATACTCTACGTTGTATTTTTTCGAGATTATTATTTTGTTCTACTGTAAGACTGCTATGCAACGCGGGAGCCCAATATTCTATAATTGGCCGTATATAATAACCTACGTATTTTGTCACTAAATCCCTAAAAGGTAAATTGAATTTCTTAAGTTTTCTCAACATATAAAGTTTTCTATTGCACCTGTTGACTAAATCATTAACATGTAAATTCCATTTTAAATCAGATTGTATAATGACTCCAAGAATATTGCTAGTTTGTACATTGCATAGAGGAGAGTCATTAGTGGAAAAAACTTCAGGAGAAGCAGGGTTTTTCATAAAAGTAACCTGCAGGGTAAAACACTTCGAAGGATTACGGGACATATTGTTTGATTGAGACAAGTATTACACAGAATTAAGTATAATTGTGAAACGTCTGTTTACGACATTGTACTAAAGATAAATCATCAACATATTTGAAATAATGTATAGGTCCTATACATTATATTTTCACATAAATCATTAACCATAATTGCAAAAAGAATTGGGCCAAGACGTGTCCCTTGGGGAACACCGGCGCGACTAACTTTAATATCAGACAGAGTTCCATTATATAATGCACTTTATTTACAACACACTACAAAACTTATGATCCCATTTATTATCCAAGGTCTTATGTGCATATTATGGGCATCTCCAAGGGGTGTGGGGTGCGACACCCCCACCCGTTAAGATATTGTTGGTAAAATTGCGCTGCCGTCGGGGAAAAAGAGAAGGGGGAGGGGGAAAAAAGAGGGGGGAGGGGAAAAAAGAGAGAGGGAAAGGGAATGAAACGAAAAACAGAAAAGGAAAATAAAGGGAATAAAGGAGAAGAAAAGAAAGAAAAGAGAAGAAAGAAAGAGAAAAAAAGAAAAAGAGGGAGGAGAGGAAAGAAAAGAAGAAGAAAAAATAAAAAAGAAAGAAAGAAAAGGAGAAAAGGAAAAAAAAGGAAACAAAAGAAACGGGGGGGGGGTGAAAGAGAGGAGAGAGAGGGGAGGTAAGAGCCTGAGAGAGAGGGGGTTGGGTGGAGTCGTCTCGTAGAGGGAGCAAGAAAGACACGCATAAATATGTTGCTATGTCGGGTCAGCTGTGTCAGTATTCTTGCTGGATCCTCGTGTACTACTATATCAATGCAGAAGTTTGAAGTCGGTGAGATGTACAGTGCTACCCAGAAAAAACGAAACCGAGAATTATCGATGTTTTATCATAACTTAATCACAATTATAATTAATAAATGACATATATTTGTAAAGCTTAGAAACTAGAAACCAAAAGTCATGTGGCGGGCGGTTTCTGATTTTTTTTTCTAGAAAGTTCAATTTCTGCCCTTTCATAAAAATTATGACACCTCAATCAGGGAAAATGAGCAAGGATTAACAAAGTTCTGTCCGTTTAAGTGATGTTTGCATTTCCATAATTTGATTTAAAAAGCTTGTTTAACAATGTTTCCAGTTTTATAAGTCTGAGATGCATTAGTACAGCGGATAAGCTCCCAATATAACGAGAATTGTGCACTTTTTGAGAAAAGCATGAAACTTCTAGCATAGTTAGTTTAGACCATAAGATTCATTTTCAGATGTGGAGGGAAGTCAGATTTGACCTCTGATGACCCTGAGAGGTCAAATTCAAAATGGCCGCCAGTCTGCATGGTCTCATGTACAAACACGCTTAACTTTTGAACCAAATAGTCCAGAAAAACATTTTAGGTTTCGTTTCCAACTAAATTGGGTATGCCAATTCATTTGGTAATACTTTTGAGATCGCCAGATTTCAGGGTTTTGCATTAAGGTCAAGGTCAAGGTCAAGGTCAAAATTGACTAAAAATAGCAAGTTTTCAATGTTTACAACAAAACAAATCCCATTTATTTGTCATTTGTTCGCCTCTATGTTCTCAAATTTCTTTAAGAGTGGTTTCCCTGCAGACCATGAAATTCATTTTCAGATGTGGAGGGAAGTCAGATTTGACCTCTGATGACCCGGAGAGGTCAAATCCAAAATGGTTGCCTGCAGTCCCGCCTATTCTAATATGCTTAACTTTTGAACCAAATAGTCCAGAAAACATTTAAGGTGTCATTTCCAAGTAACTTGGGAATGCCAATTCATTTGGTAACACTTTTGAGATCGCCAGAACTCAGGGTTTTGCATGTAGGTCAAGGTCAAGGTCAAAATTGATTAACAAATAGCAAGTTTTGAATGGTTACACAAAGTTTCCCATTTATTTGTCATTCGTTCTCCCCTATGTTCTCAAATTTCTTTAGAAATGGTTACCCTGCATAGTCCCCCACCTTAATCCCTTTCAGTTAGTTCATTTCACAGTTTGATTTGACCTCTGATGACCCTAAGAGGTCAAATCCAAAATGGCCGCCGGTCCGGATGGTCTGTACAAAGACGCTTAAATTTTGAACCAAATAGTCCAGAAAAAACGTTTAGTGTCATTTCCAACTAACTTCAGGATGCCAATTCATTTGGTAACACTTTTGAAATCGCCAGAACTCAGGGTTTTGCATGTAGGTCAAGGTCAAGGTCAAGGTCAAAATTGACTAAAAATAGCAAGTTTTCAATGTTTACAACAAAACAAATCCCATTTATTTGTCATTTGTTCGCCTCTATGTTCTCAAATTTCTTTAAGAGTGGTTTCCCTGCAGACCATGAGATTCATTTTCAGATGTGGAGGGAAGTCAGATTTGACCTCTGATGACCCGGAGAGGTCAAATCCAAAATGGTTGCCTGCAGTCCCGCCTATTCTAATATGCTTAAATTTTGAACCAAATAGTCCAGAAAAAACGTTTAGTGTCATTTCCAACTAACTTCAGGATGCCAATTCATTTGGTAACACTTTTGAAATCGCCAGAACTCAGGGTTTTGCATGTAGGTCAAGGTCAAGGTCAAAATTGACAAAAAATAGCAAGTTTTGAATATTTACAAAAAGTTTTCCCATTTATTTGCTATTTGTTCACCCCTATGTTCTTTAATTTCTTTCGGAATGGTTCCCCTGCATAGTCCCCCACCTTAATCCCTTTCAGTTAGTTTTTTCACTAATTATAGCACCAAACCATTACTTGTCTTGTAACTGACCCTATGCATAGCATGGTCAGTGGGCAGCTAGGCCGTATACGGCAAACACCTCAATCCAAGTCAGGAAAACTGCTCCTTTCCATTGCTGCTCAATACTACTGGTAAGTTGTTCTTTAAATTTGTGTATTATTTGGTTCTAAGTAATTTAAAGGATCACTACAAAGTTTGAGGAACAGGCCATAACGGTTCTGCTTACACTAAACAACATCACCATGACCACAAACCTGGAGTGCGGGTAGTATTCCTAAGGGATGTTAAGGCACTTGTGACAGTACTGAAAGGTATGGGGAATCCATTTGTAGAACAAAGTCAAGACCTACTAGTCATTGGCACAAGAGACATATCATGGACACCCAAGTGGCTGAAACGGGGAGAAGGATTAAGACCCTAGGTGAGGAGCAGTACACAAAGTTTGTGACAGAAAGGCTATAGCAGTGTACGACACCTGTCACACAAACACTTCATACGAAGAAGTTGCCACTTTTCAGTCGGCAGCCGGCCAAGGTTATGTCAAAACAGAAGGCACAGCTCTTTTCGAGGATGTACATCTCGTGTCAGACACGGGATGGAGATATGGACAATTTCTTCTCCCATGAAAACCGGGCAGCCCCCCCCCCCCTAGTTAAAGCCCCCCCCCCCCCCTAGTTAAAGCAGTTCTACTCTGCTGCCTGGAATCGAATCGGCTCGAAAACAATAGTGCACCTGTGGCCCGAGCAATAATTCTTGATGGTGCAGCTGTGGTTCAAATGCTCAATCCTTTGAAAGAGTGTTTGCCCCATACATCTTTGTTCAACTCGAGAAAAGCATCCGCATCGACCTTGGCTATGGTGAATACTTACCTGCTTGCCTGAATGCCTCAACATGACAGGAAAGGGGAAAGGGCACTAGAAAAGGGGTGGCTCCTTCTACTATGCTGCCAAAAAACTGGAAGGACTTCCTTCGAGTCAATGAGAACAAAGCCGAATTGTTTGCTTTCCTGCCACGCTAAACCGTTCATCATCCTCTACCACAGAGCAAGGAACTGTATGCAACAGAAGTGGAATACTCTGCTCTCCTGCTGAGTCACATTTGGCAGGCCTTGTCCCATGCTCGCACGAGGAGGCTGACACTCGTCTACTTCTGCATGTGGCAGATGCTGTGCAAAAAGGGTGAAAAGGGTAACCATACGTACTGTTGGTACTGATGCGGTTGTACTGACCGTGGCTTCATTCAGCAAGACAGCTCCCGATGAGCTGTGGATCACTTTTGGTGTCAGATCAAGCTTTCGGTACATAGCTTTTCACAAAACGGTTGCCACCATGAGTCCGACACAGTGTATGACTCTCTCATTTGTTCACCGGGTGTGACACTGTTTCTGCATTCAGAGGAAAAAAGCCTGGGAAACTTTCCCAAAGTCTTTCCCAGAGGTGAATGATTTCCTCAGTGAACTCCTGTGCATGTCTAGTGAGGTCAGTGAAGGACCAATATTACTGCTAGAGCGATTTGTGGTGCTGAAGTACGACCGAACCAGTGAGAGCGTGGTAGTGAATGATGCCAGGAAACAGCTCTTCGCACAGAAGTCTAGAAACCTGGAGAACCTTCCTCCAACCCAGGCAGCACTCAGGCAGCACATCAAGCGCATTTGCTACCAGGCCAACTTACTGTTGGAACTAGACATTGGCCAAGAATCCAGAGATGCCAGAGCCATCTGACTTGGGCCGGACAAACGAAACAACTGGGTGGCAGCCTCTTTGGACCACTCTCCCGGAGGTATACAAATCGTGCCATGAATTGATACACTGTCGCTGCAAGAAAGGATGCACTGGATGTTGCAAGTGTGTCAAAGCTGCAGTGCACTGTGCTCTTGTTTTGGAGACTATTAGATGTTGATCGTTACCCAGTTAGGATATTCATAAGTTGTGGACCTTGCTAAATTCATGTGGATATGAACAGGTTTTAGGTTGTATATGGAATAGCTTTTTGGGTCTTCTGGGCCCAATTTCATGAAGCTGCTTTCCGGTAAGCAAATTTTCGTGCTAACTGTAGCAGAAGAATTTGCTTAAGCAGGTTAGCAAGAAAACAAGGCGTCCACCTTGCGCGTTTACAATGGATTTGCATTGTTAGAAAATTCATTAAGGGTTAATGCATTTTCGTGTGCTTAGTAGAAACTCATATACGTAAGCACAGAACCGGCCGATAAGCAGCTCTATGAAATTTGGCCCTGGATAGTCAAAGTGGTGGTACATGGGTCTTTTTATTATTTTTTTAAATTATGACTCGTTAAGTGTCAACATGGAGGCAAAGTTTTTTTTTTAAATCAACAAAAAAAATCAACAAAAAAATCAACAAAAAAATCAACAACAACAAAAAAAAAAAAAAATTAAAAAAAATCACTTTTTTGGCCGAATATGACATTGACCTTGACCTTATTGCAAATCCCTGAGTTCTGGCGATCTCAAAAGTGTTACCAAATGAATTGGCATCCCCAAGTTAGTTGGAAATGACACCTTAAATGTTTTTCTGGACTATTTGGTTCAAACGTTAAGCGTCTTTGTACAAGACCATCCGGACTGGCGGCCATTTTGGATTTGACCTCTTAAGGTCATCAGAGGTCAAATCAAACTGTGAAATAAACTAACTGAAAAGATTAAGGTCGGGGACTATGCAGGGGAACCATTTCTAAAGAAATTTGAGAACATAGGGGCGAACAAATGACAAATAAATGGGAAAACTTTTTGTAACCATTCAAAACTTGCTATTTTTTAGTCAATTTTGACCTTGACCTTGACCTACATGCAAAATCCTGAGTTCTGGCGATCTCAAAAGTGTTACCAAATGAATTGGCATCCTCAAGTTAGTTGGAAATGATACCTTAAACGTTTTTCTGGACTATTTGGTTCAAAAGTTAAGCGTCTTTGTACAATAATACCATCTGGACTGGCGGCCATTTTGGATTTGACCTCTCAGGGTCATCAGAGGTCAAATCTGATTTCCCTCCACATCTGAAAATAAATCTTATGGTGATAGCTAACTATGCTAGAAGTTTCATGCTTTTCTCAAAAAGTGCACAATTTTCTTGCTAAGCCGCTGCACTACATGACCCTACGTGTTATCAGTGTCTGTGATATGGTATAAAAGAGAGAGAGAGAGAGAGAGAGAGAGGTGGAAAGTGAGAGACAAAGACAGACAAAGAAAGTGCGAGAGGAAGAGAGATAGAGGTAACATGCTTACGAATTTGTAGTTTTAGTGGGATTTGGTGTGGTCAAGCAGTGGCGGATCCAGGGGGGGGGGGAGGGGGGCGGGGTGCTTGCGCCCCACCCTTGGCAAATAAAAATAGTAACCGCAATTTAACCTTTTTTTGCTCAAAGGGGGGGGGGTGTGTAGTTGAGTTTTAAAAAATATATATTTTTCGTACTCACAGAGAGAGATAGAGAGAGAGATAGAGAGAGAGTGAGAAGAGAGCAGGCGCGTACGCAGGGGGGGGGGTTAGGGGTTGAACCCCCCTTTGGTATTTTTAATGTGTGTATTTCGGAGGAAAACACCCCCCTTTGGTTTTTTTTATTTTTATTAATAACAACAAAAAACATTATGCCAATGGCTGAGCCAAAAAAAAGGTGACCTTACCCCCCCCCCCCCCATACAAAGAAAAATGTCAAATTTTTAAATTTCGAAACCAAAACAGAAAAGTGTCCTCCCCCCCCCCCCCCCCCCCCCCCCCCCCCCCCCCCCCCCCCCCCCGCTTATTCAGCGGCTGGCTGAGTCGTTGCGAAATTTTCGGCCCGATTTCAAAATGTTAACCCCCCCTCCCCCCCCCCCCCCTTGAAAAATCCCTGCGTACGCTACTGGAAGAAAGAGATAGAGAAAGAGAGAGGGGTGGAGGCAGAAAGTGAGGGTACGTTAAAGGCATTGTTTAACAATGTTACCATTTTCATAAATCAGAGATGCATGACCCTACGTGTTATCAGTGTCTCTAATATGGTGTAATATTGAAGCCCTACTAAAATTGCGGTTCAAAATGATTATGGAATGCTTTAAAAAAGGAAAAATCTTTGAGGGACCGGTTTTACTATATTCATTTCCCTCAATAGACTGTATTGTTAACGGTTTTTGTAATTTCTAATTCCAATCATAAATATCTTGATAATCAGACAGGCGATTGGCTCGTAAAAAAAAAGGGATTCCTGATTTACTTAAATGTTTATAATTATGAGTGCAGCATGAGCTAAATTCAAGATTTTTTTTAAAGAATCTGAGGCAAAAATACCCAATTTAGTCAATTTGTTTAGAAAGTTGTAAACGAAAAGGGTGAGCATTAAAAAAAGAGGGAGAAGAAGAGAAAAGAGAGAGAGAGAGAGAGAGAGAGAGATGATGTAAATGGA